ACAGTGACACCATCTCCGGTCAACTCATTCTGTCCCACAACGCCACCATAGATCCAAAGTAGCCAATCTATTATTTCATACTGCAAGACATGAGATGCAACAGTGTCAATGGCTGGAGCTAGAGTACCAGGTAGCTACTGAAAAATCTTCAAAGAGAAGGGCCAGAGAGGTGGTACAGTGGATAGGGCACTTGTCTTGCATGCAACCCACCCAGGTTCAGTCCCCAGCACCACATATGCTTCTCAAGGTTACTACAAACAATCCCTGAATATAAAGCCAGGAGTAAGCCCTGAGAACAGCAGGAAATCACTTGTAGAAACCTTGACAAAATGATACACTTCATAAAATACAGTCAGAATTGTAGACTAGTAACTGAAAATTTTAAAATAATTCTTTCACTGCATCACCAAAGAATCATTTATTCTACAGCCTTACTTCCCCTTTTTTTGGAAGATCTAGACTAGCAAAAAATATTTATTCATACTTCATTCTCCAAAGCGATGAACACTAGCAATTTGAATTTTCATTCAAAAAATAAAACCTTTTTTTTTTTCTTGGCCCATATAGTGTTATACCAAAATTAACAGGGCCATTTCAATTAAGTTACTCAAACATTTTCTTTATGTGGCTAGAACACCGCCTGGTAACCACAGTAAATCATAACATCAAACACTTGATAGCATTTACTATATGCCAGGCACAACCTAAACATTAAATACAATACATATCAAATACACATGTTGCTATTACGCTCTTGGTTTGAAAAATGAAGCACTATAAGTCTAAGTAATTGACCAACCTGGCATAATAATGGCCATCACAATAAGGAGACTGAGCTTTGAGAAAACAGGAACTTGTATACATTATTTCCTTTTCAAACTTATATAATGGATGAAGACTCCTGGAATCTCACAACTTTTCCCCACCCCAACACTCTCTTTCTTCTGTCTTTCCCCTATGCGAACAACTGTCCTCCCCTTTATCATCTCATTTCTCAGGTTCTGGTCCACACAGTATATATGGCTATCCTACTCATCCACAGCAAAAGACACTTCTTATCTTTCTTTGTGTGTTTGGGGGGTAGGGGGGAGAAGAATGGGGGGAGAGGCAGGGCACACTCTGTAGTGCTCAGAGCTGCTGGTTGTGCTTGGGAGACCATAATGACACTGTGTATTAAACCCAGTCCATCTTGGCAAGTACCCTACCCATTGTGCCATCTCTAAGACATCTCTAAGACCAGGTGAACAAGCCACCATTCCTCAGACTGATGCTGGTTAAAAAAAAAAAATAGCTTTCATTGGTGTGAGATGAATGAGAATGGGTGAAGACAAGTGACCAAAGCAAAATGTTCTCAACTTTTAATAATAATAAGCCTTTGTTCTTTGGCTTTTTTTTTTGCAGGGCTAAAATATAATAATGACCAATGCTTAACTTTTTATTTTCAATTGTCCCTACAGGCCAAATAAAAAGTAACCCAGCAACTCCTGTCTCTCGATCCTAAATGTTAAGCTAACAAGAGCATAAATCTACCATGAGTACACTGGGGTGAAGGACCAAGTGGTGAAAGACAGACACAGACAGGAAATAAGGAACTGAAAACTTTCAGGTCAAACAGAAGCAGATACTTCTTCCACTTTTAACAGTGACAGAGAAACTCAGGCGTCTGGTGCAGTAAACAAGCAAAAATTGAATATATATATGTGTGTGTATATATATATATATATATATATATATATATATATATATAACCTCGTTCTCTTTCAGAAAACATCATGAAGCACTGAGTATTTATTTTAAAGCACGGGCTTGATCTTCAAGCAAATGTTCTCCTCTGTACACCTATCTCGCTTACTTGTCTCTGATTCTTTGCTTCTTCAACTCTGTGAAAGCCCATATATTCAAGAGAATATACCTTCTCTTGAAGGTATATTCCTTTCTTTCCCCTCACATCTAAGTTTCAATAAAAAAAAAGACTGCTTCACATGAAAGAAAAAAAAGGAAAGAATAAATGAATGAATGAAAATAAGCAAGTTGTTTAAAAATGGCAAACTTGAATTTTAAAAAGATGGGAAGGCCAGGCCTGTGGCTCAAGTGGCAGAGCACACACTTGGCATGTTCATGGTCTGGGTTCAACTTCCAACACTGCCAGTCTACCATCAACCACCGTTGGGACAAGCCCTCCCAAGAGAAACCCAACATAAAAGGTAATACTACACAGTACTGGTCTACAGAGTACTGGAAAAATGTGGTTTTTGAAAGCATTTCTTACAAAAATGCAGCCAAGAAACTACTATCACTTGCATGAACACGAGTCAACCACCCAGATTCCCCACAACCCCTCCCTCCACCGTGGTGGCTGTGTACACCTGAGTGCGTGACTTGCAGCCACACTCGGCCTCAGTTCCCATCAACTGTGATGAATGAGTTCAATTCAACAGAGAGCTGACAACAATGCCTGGCACTTCCCTTCAGAACTACTGCGTAGAAATTCAGCAACAGAAAAAGGGCTAGAAAGACAGATCAGAGTGATGGAGTATGTGTCTGCCATGCCCAAGGCCCAAAATTCAATCCCAGCACAGCTTGGGGGAGCAGGAGTGCCAACCTTACCCAGCCAAGTCTCCACACCAGAAATAAAAGGGGCTTCCCCCAACACCCACTGTCAGTACAACTGGGGAAAGGCACCTCATCTGAAAACTAATAAATCAGGTCTCGAGTGAAAACTATCAAAGCCACAAAACTAAGAGCAGTTGGATCTTCTGCTTCCCTAGCTTTTAGAGTGAGACCAGTTTTATGTACATCGAAGGAGGAAGTTTATGTGGGACATTGAAACATTTCAATCTCGCTTCTTCATAAGTTTTATAAAGGGGGACTCCCAAAGAGAGAGCACAGCAGATAGGGCACTCGCCTTGCACTTGGGCAGACCTGGCTTCCATTCCCACCCTGAACGCAGAGCCAGGAATAGACCCTGAGTACAGACAGGCATGTTCCAAAAACCAACAACAAAAGCAAACAAAAAAGTTCGATTAGGAAACACTTGGAATCAAGTGGGAACACACTCAACAGGGAGAGTCCCTAGGCCGTTTTACAAATTTGCTTCCAAGGCTGGGGAATGCACCCCTCAACTAAGGCCACGTTAGAACAACAGAGCAGACAACTTTTTTTCAGGCCAGCAATGCAATTAAACACAAATGATTCATGTCCAAACATCTACAGTTGAAAAAAAAAAAAACAACTGTGCATAGCTGTGCAAGTCTTTCCACCAGAAGTACACCACGGACCTAAGGAAAATGGAAAGGCTAAGTGATACACCAGCCACAGAGGTAGACACGATTTATAATCAGCACTCTCTTAGGAGTAGGAACAGATCTCCCATTTTGCCATCCTTCCACTTGGGTGCCAACCAGGCCGGCTCACTCCACACGAGAGCTCCACCAGGCAAATTTTCTCAGTTTATCTCATCCTCTGGCCTTCTCCCGGGCCACCTCTATAACCCAGTGTGAATTTTAATTAAAAGGCACTTGATTCATTGACACAGCCGTTTTATTTCTTAGCACAAAGGTAACCGACATCCTCAGGACTCAAGAATGACTCCTCATCCAGGAGTATAAAACGCAGACTATAAAACCGCATCAGATTACTGAATCAGAATTTGCATTTTTAAACAAGAACCCCAAAGATTTCTCTGCACGATAAAGTTTGAGTAGCACAGCTCTATTTAACTTTACTGCAGTTATAAAAATTTCAACTGCTCAAGTTTACATTTGAATTTTGAGATAGGTATGAAAATCACCAAGAGAAAGAACCAGAAAAAGATAATTAAGAGAAGTAACCATATAAATTTTACCACTGGTATGAAAAATGCTCAAAGGTTTATTTTCAACCATACCTAAATCCAATGCTTCCTACCTCCAGTGACTATTTTGTACAAAAGCCCAATAGTTTGGGGTAAAATCTGTTGAACGAAATAGTACAAAAGAATAACTGGATCTACACATTTCAGCGCAACCCGCCCGGACTAAATTTTAGGGCTTAATTCAAATCTCAGGATTGAATTCAATTCAGAGTTGACTCTTTCCAAAAGGCCACTAATCAAGTAAAAAAAAAAAAATTTAAAGATGCAAACTAAATATACATCATTTCGAACCTGAAACTAACGCTACTGAACGACCCCCTGGTTTCCTGGGTCATAGGCAGCAGGAAAATGATTTGGGAGGTTGGCGGTTGCTTTTTCCAGGAAACGTGGGGGGCGGGGGGGCGAAGGGGGGCGGGGGAGGGAAGAGCAGGAGGTTCATCAACTTTCACTCTGCAAAGTTCTTCCCTCCTGCAAGGCCTCAACGTGCGTGGTGCACACAGGTGAATGAACTGCAGCCGCATTGCATTGGAACAAGGTCACGTTTCTCTCCTCCTCCAAGATTAAATAAAAAAAAAAAGTTTGTCTCTCCAGGCTGCTTTGGAGGCGGGGGAGGATACGAAGCTTTGGGTTTCCCAGGCCCGCTCCGCTTCCGGCCTGAGAAGGAAGCGGCCACCTCGGGTCCCTCCGAAATGAACTGGGAAGTGCACCAAGTCGGAAGTTGAGCCCCAGCCCGGACCCCAGGCGCTGCCCTCTCGCTGCAGCCGGCCTGGACCACCCCCCTCCCCCCGCCGTCCTCCCCGCGGAGGAGAGGCAGGCGGGCTAGGGATGCGCAGCCCCCCACGCCCAGCCCTCCTGCCCCCTTCCCCCCGCCCCCCCAGGCCCATCCAAGGGAGCGCACAGGCTGGTGGAGGGGGGGAAGGGAGGTGCGGGTCGCCCTCCGCGGCGGCGGCACCCTCAGGCCTTCCCGGGGGTGGGGGTGGCAGCGGCGGCGGCCACGGCGGCGCGAGGGGGGCGGCGGGGCTGGTCCAGAGAGGCTGCGGGGAGCGACTGCACGGACGGGGGCTGCACTGGAGGACGGCGGAGGCTCTGGGGGGGGGGGGGGTTGGGGGCTGCTCCAGCATCAGCATCATCGCTAGTTTGTTTTTACCTGTAGCGCAGAAGGCTTCCCCAGCTCCTACTCCCTGAATCTGAATCTGAATCCTCCTCCTCCTCCCCTCCTCTTTTTTTTCCCTCCCCTCTCTCTCTCTCTCTGTCTCTGTCTCTCGCCAGGCGCTCGTGGAACCGCTCGGGTCCGGCCCGACCAGAAAGAGAACAGGGCGGGAGGGGCTGGCGGCGCGGTGACCAGCGCGCACGTGACCACGCTCGCGCCGTAACGGCGGCCGCCTCCCGCCGCGCGCCCGCCCCGCGCTCCACCTCTACTAACCCCGCCAGTCGCACGCACGCGCACACACACACACACACACGCGACACGGACCCCCGGACTGCGCGCGCGCGCGCACACACACACACACACACACACACACACACACGCGCGCGACACGCGGCCCGGCCGCTGCTGCGCAGGCGCCCGCCCGGACCCCCGGACTGCGCGGGCACGCGACGCGCGCGCGCGAGGCCCCAGGTGCCGAGTGAGCCGCGGGCCGAGCGCGCCGGCCGACGGCCACCAGGGCGCATGCGCGGGACGACCTGCTTTTGGTCCCCCCTTGCCTCCCTCCTCCAGGACCAAGACTGGAACCTGCGCTCAGCTCAATGCTCAGCCCCTGCCTCTGAGACTTAAGTCATTGACCTCGTCACCAACAGCGTCGTAGGATGGAACTAAGAGGAAAGAGAGTTATCAGACACCCCCTCCACGCCACCTCTGAGAGCTTCCTGCCTATTGGGACTGGGTCTATTTCTCCCTATTCCCCACCTGTCAGTAGCCTTTCATTAGCCATGCCTCAGTAGACCCCCCAATTCAATGTCCCCGACCCAGATCCTCTATCACTTCCGGTGAAACAGACCCCACTCTACTTTTGGGGAGTCATTCACACTTTGTGCAGACCTACTTGAGAATAAACCTTAGGAGGATCATGTGTTTGTTCGTTTTAATAAGTCTACAATAATGGGTTCCAGTTCTTTTTCTCATAGCCTAGTGCTCTGTGTGTGTGTGTGTGTGTGTGTGTGTGTGTGTGTATCTTTAGCACTGCCATATCTCTATGATGTTACGGCCAGTGTCTTCAGTACGCAGGGGGGCCGTATCTACACCCTGTGCCCTGTTGCCCTCAACCTCAACTTAATCATGATTTAAGAGTCCCTTTAACCCAAGCACTTGGGATGCTGGTATTTCTTTAAAGCCTATGAATGCCGATGCTAATTAGGTGGTAAATGTTTCACCTAGTAAAAAGGATTTACGGTCTCTTACTAGCCTGTCTTAGAAAACTTCCAAAGGAAATAGATACTGTTGAGTCCAGAGAAAGGAAACCAAGGCACTGAAAGGTCAAATTTCTAAAAGTTTGCTAGCTGTTGAGAAGCCTCCCTTGTGAAAGACTTTGTCCAAGAGCAAAAGGGACATGGGCCCTCCTGCACTCCGGGGTTCCCTCAATTTCTGTTTGCCCTTTCATGTTATGAAAGTTGTACAGGCTAAGTTGATAACTTTGGCCAGATTCAATCAGTACAAATAACTGAAATGCGAATATTTACTCAGGTAATTCTTACCTAGACCAGTCATCATCGCTGTTAAACTTGCAACTATTGAAATTTGGGGACTGGAGCAATAGCACAGTGGGTAGGGCGTTTGCCTTGCACGCAGTGACCCAGGTTCGATTCCCAGAATCCCATATGGTCCCCTGAGCACCACCAGGGGTAATTTCTGATTGCAGAGCCAGGAGTAACCCCTGTGCATTGCCGGGTGTGACCCAAAAAGAAAATAAAGAAAGAATATTCAGGGACCAGCACTAGCACCCAAAACCCAGAAAATGCTGGAATATATGTGGATAAAGAGGAGTTAGAGAGAAACTACAGGACATGAGGTGCCTACCTTGAATGCAGCCAATCGTGCTTGATTCTGAGCACCACATATGGTGTCCTGAGTACCTCCGGGAGTCACCCCTGGGGACCTCTGGGTACGGCCTAAAAACCAAACTAATATTGATCAAGAAGCCATTAAGAGGAGCTGAGAAATATAGGAAAATCATGGCCTTTAAGACTCCAGTGCTAAATGTCTGTAATATAGATGAACTCTCTTACATTTAGCAACATCCACACCCATAAAATAATCCACCGGTTCATTTCAGCTACCACCTCAAGGCTAGTAGCATCCTAAGCATCCAGTCCAAGGTTCAGACTCCAAGGAGACTTGTTTGATGGCCCACATTGAACCATGTCTCCTTAATCCTCTCTTCTGTAAGCTTCTGCCCTTGATTCTGGGAGTCAATCTGTCATTTTCACTAGGGCAAAAAAATGACTATGCCACTTCCAGGTGTCGATTTTAAAAAAGTTTTGCAGTGAGATTTTACCAAGTGTTATTTTCATGAAAACAGAGATCATTAACAAATCCCTCGGCCACCATCACCTGTTTGTGTTCGGGAAAATTGCTTGCGACAAAGCACCATCCTTCCCCATATAACTTAGATGAGACTCACCATCTACCCCTTTTTGATTTTGTTTTTGGATCACACCTGGCTGTGCTCAGGGCTTATTCCTGGCTCTGTGCTCAGGAATCACTCCTGACAGGGTTCAGAGGACCATACGTAGTAATAGCATCTTCCTTACCTGCTGTACCAACTCTCCAGTCCCTCGCCATCTACTCTCATAAAAAGAGCCAAAAGTTTCTTATTTACTTGTGACAAGGCCTAACCAACCATTTTCCCTTTTTGTCCAGACCTACTGACAATATCAAGTACAATCCCTCAACTTCCTGTTCTTATCTCACAAATGTTTAGCCGAGATTACAAATAGTTGTTCTCTTGTATGGAGTGATGATAAATCCCTTTGCCTTGGATTACAAAACTAGATTACCAAGAAGCATGTGGAGGGGTAGGGAAATGAAGACATGTACTAGAAGTAACACAGGGACAGTGGGCCTTTTGGTGGTAGTGGAGAGTGCAATAACTTTGCACCTCAATCCATCAATGTTAGCACTGCAATAACCATGTCAGTTAAACTATAATTTTAAAGAAGAAAAAAGAATTATTTGTCCCCTTAAAAATTATTTGAACACGGAGCAGGAGTGATAGCACAGCGGTTAGGGAGTTTGCCTTGCATGCGGCAGACCCGGGTTCCATTCCCAGCATCCCATATGGTTCCCTGAGCACCCCAGGAGTTATTCATGAGTGCATGAGCCAGGAGTAACCCCTGTGCATCACCAGGTGTGACCCAGAAAGAAAAAAAAATATTTAAACACAAGTTAACATTTCCTAAGTGACTAAGATGTCTTGATTACAAAACAATCCCAAATGTAATCATCCCAAAACAAACTCTCTGTTCCTCTTTTTAAAAGAGTAAGGCAGAACCACCTTCCCAAGACTTCCTTAGCTCTAAATCTTGTTTTATTTCTCCTTGCAACAGTCTGCATAAAATCAGTCTTTTTGCCTGTTTTGATGTTGACAGTGGCACCTGTTTTTGCCTTTTGCTGTATTATCCAACTACTCTGAGATTAATACACTGAGAAAACTCTAACCTAAATCATTGAAAAAGGCCAAATGGAAGAGAATCAGGGATCTTGGCTAACAGCCCCAGCTGTGTGCCCACCAGAAAAAGCAACAACCTGCTACAAACATGAGTGTAGAAGGATACACAAGTTTATTCTTGATTTTTCTTTATCTTGTAACATTCCATCACCATGTAAGAGGGTTTTTCCTCCAGATTTGCACTGGTGGAGGGATGGGTACTTGATCTTTGTATAACTGAAACCCAAGCACAAAAATTTGTAAGTCTATAACTGTACCTCATGGTGTTTCACTAATAAAAATAAATTAATAAATAAATAAAAGAGGGTTTTTCCTCCAGCCCTACCCACATCCTCTTATTTTGGATTCTCACCATCTATCTCCTAAAATACTGAAATTCTGTCTGTTGCATCTACGAGAATCCCCACACACCTAGATTGCCTTAACTCTTGTCAGACAGGAAGTGGGGACTCTTGAGAAACCAACCCAGTCATCTCCTATCACCTGTGTCCAAATGATTTTAAGACCAGACTTATGGAACGCCTTAGCAGTGCCCTCTTTCTCTCAGCCACAAAACTTGGTTTAGGGATGTGGCTTCAGCCAGGCTTCTCATAGTTCTGGTCTCCAAGAGAAAACCTGAGGCACTGTTAGTCACAGTCAGTACAGAGCATCCTGACAGAGCTGAGAGTGGCCTGCAGTCTAATCTAGGAAAAGGAAACTAAAATAATCAAGCTGATGATTAATAACTCCATAAAACATCAACACTGTATAAAATTCATTTTGAGTTGTGTTACTTATCACTTATATTTTGAAGGCAGCAAATTGCACTGGAACCTACATTCATGTTCTTAGAAAAATAACCATTTGAGACCATTCTGCAGCTACTTGTAAGACATTTGGTTCTCAGCTTTGGCATCTATATGTGATCCCTGTCTTGGGGCATGGAAGAAAGTGAAACACTCACAAAAACACAGATTCTCTGGGAAAGGGGGCTGCTGCGGGTACAGTCCTATTTAAGGACTGGGTCTCATCCAGGCCTCTACCTGTGAAATCGCTATGCCTAGCCCAGCACCTTCCCTATAGCCCCAGCTGGCTCTGGCTCTTTTCTTCTTTTCTCCATTTAGTCTGCCTGAATAAATAAGACACAATAGGATCTTGAAATTGCCAATACATTCTAAAGTAACATGCTAAACAGATGCACACCTCACAGTGGGGCACTGCCAGGGATAGGTGTGGCAAACACTGACTGTGTATGTGGCTCAGCACAGCCTCCTTTGCTACCTTATGTAGCATTATCCATAACAATGCCCGACTTATCACCTGTTAAGAGCATAGTTGATTTTCAGCTTCAGCTGAAACATTAGAAACCACTTCAGTTCCTTAGAGGGAATTTACTACTGGGAATGAGTCACACAGGTGATGGGGGACATGAGAAGCAGACAAGCAATGGGGAGGTCAGCAACAGAAGGGGACTGTATTATCTCTTTGCTAAAGGACACAAGGGTAAAAAAATCTAATTATAGGGTAGAATGAGGTGGGGCTATCTGATGGAATCTATGCCAAGGTAATAGATCCTGGGGAACTGCATAGAAGAAGAT